TTTTGTAACCTTGGCGAGATCTGTGCCTTGCCACAATTCTGTTTCTGAGCTCTTCAGGCAGTTCCTTTGACCTTATGATTCTCATTTGCTCTGACATGCACTGTGTGCTGTAAGGTCTTATATAGACAGGTGTGTGGCTTTCCTAATCAAGTCCAATCTGTATAATCAAACACAGCTGGACTCAAATGAAGGTGTAGAACCATCTCAAGGATGATCAGAAGAAATGGACAGCACCTGAGTTAAATATATGAGTGTCACAGCAAAGGGTCTGAATACTTAGGACCATGTGATATTTCAGTTTTTCTTTTTTAATAAATCTGCAAAAATGTCAACAATTCTGTGTTTTTCTGTCAATATAACAAAGAGGGGAAAATTTAAGGGGGTCTGAATACTTTCCGTACCCACTGTATATATATATATATATAATGGCAAGGCTTATTTCTTAAAGTTGATGTACTAAATGCCATAAATTGTACAATCTGTAAAAATTATTTTTAGGTTTCTGATCATGTAACAGCTGTGAAAATGACTGGTTCAAATAAATTGATATTATATAAAAAAAAATTTACTTACTCTTGTCCTCTTATAATTTAATTTTAATAAAAAACTTGAAACAACGGCATACATTTTACATTTATATTTGTATTTCACATTATAACAAAGTCACATGAAAAACAAAAAACATGTCCATTGTTTTAGGGTGGGCAGCCATCTTGAGCTCCGGTAGCCATGTGTAACCAGTAGTCCTGATTCTTGAAGCAAACTAAATTGTAGAAGTTTTCACCACCTTTGAGGAATCCATGCTCTGTGGCTCCCCACGACACAGGACTATCCATAAATCCATGCACAGTGAGGGAAACCCATGGTGTAAACCTCGTTCATCAAAATACTGCCTGGATGATTCAGGGTTGAGAAATAAACATCTTGTAAGTTTCAAAAGTACACTTTAGCATTCTTCTAAAAAGAGTATGTATTATGGAAATATTACTTAATATGCTTAAATATTAAATAAGTGCAGACTGAAAGTTTTCAAGACACTTAATTGCAATTAAATAAAAATTTATTATAATTTTAAATGATATGAAACGCAATTAGCTGAACTTTAAAGGGCTGACCCACTCAGGGAGGACTTTGTATGTAATTCATTATTTCTGTTGTCTCATGAAATATTGTTAAAGTGTATTGAATGTACTGACAAGCATTTCAAAAACTAAAATACACTGTAATATCATATCTATTTAAACATATATGTCATACTTAAATGTATCACCATCTCCGCTTTATTGGCCATTACATGGCAGACACAAGTGGAACATTCAACAAAAGATCATGAATACAATATTATAAAAACAAACATTTTAAAAAATTCAACTCAAAAAGAGAAGATTGAGTGCAATTCTATAAAAGATTGTTTAAATGTCACTGTGATAAAAACAGTCAAAGTTTTTCTGCGTCATGTAGTTAAAAATATTTGTAATTACACATCTGTAATGAGAAAGTTTAAATTTAGTCCATTTAAAATAAATTGCTTTTAAATGTAATCTTGTATAACACACTGTTAAAATTATAACCAAGTACTTTACATTAAAAAGTAGATACTTTAAAGGCACAATATGTAATTTTTGCCACTATAGGGCGTGTATTCAAAATAAACAAATAGACAAAGGCGTACTGCAGTGACCGAGTGTGGAATCATGGGAGTTGTGGTCTTCATCCCCACAACCGATGCAATCCGACGGGACTCGGGCAGAAATCATGTTCATGGATGAGCTAATGATTTATTAACGTAGGAGAATGAAGCAGGGTGAGGCTGAAAACTGGCAAACTGGCAAAACGAGGCCGCTGAGCGAGCGTGACACGTGGCTCGAAAGCAGCAGAGCTTTTATTATGCCACAGTCAACCGCTTCCGCTCCTTCCGGTCGTGCATATGTGGGGGGGAAAAAAGCAGCGCTGTTTTATCATACTAGATATGTTTGAAACTTCTGTTATAATGCTACTCTGTGTGTTCATCTTGTTATAATGCTACTCTGTGTGTTCATCTTGTTATAATGCTACTCTGTGTGTTCATCTTGTTATAATGCTACTCTGTGTGTTCATCTTGTTATAATGCTACTCTGTGTGTTCATCTTGTTATAATGCTACTCTGTGTGTTCATCTTGTTATAATGCTACTCTGTGCAGTCGTCACCGGTCAATTAAAACTCACAACATATTAAAGCGTCTTTGGTGTTTCCATGTTTTCTACAAAACAAAACCGGAAA